CTTTCTTGTCCTCCTTTCCTTCATGAGTTGACTGCAGGTATAAAATTTTAATATTCTATTATAATCATGCATATCTGCTTCTTGTTCAATTTGTCTCTAAGAAAAGCGCATATTCTCAAATGGGGGCCTAATAGACCTTTCCCCTTATGAGTGAAATTTTGATCCAGATATGCCTGGACAAAAATTTCATCACAGCTTGAAAGAGCATCACAAAATTAGTAATATTCCGAAGTTTCGTTGCGAAATGTTGTAAAATGCGGATAACATAGCCTTGCGAAATTTGCCGTTTTTCAGTCATTTTGCATTACAAATGGGAAATTGATAATCAGTTTGATCATCTGATATTACTAATTTTGTGATGCTCTTTCAAGCTGTGATGAAATTTTTGTCCAGACTTGTCTAGATCAAAATTTCACTCAAAAGGGGAAAGGTCTATTGAGCTATTTGAAAAACTCACTCGTGCATGTTTTATCCAAATTGCACTCGAAACCATCCTATTACCTATTATAAGTCGATGTGAAAATACGAATTTTGGGCAAAGTCTTTGCCAGATTCGCGCAGACAAAAACAATAGAAAGGGACTGGAACTGACGTTCAATAGCTCTTCAATTTCTTGGCTTCACTGTTTGGACTCGGGTTCTCACTCCAGATATATATGGAGCTCACTGTGAAGGACCAGGAAATAATATGACAGTGAAATCTTTAACTGACAGCCACCTCGAACCGATTGCTTTCATACTCGTATCATTATTATCTTCATACTCTTATTCGTATAATTACAGACGTCGTTCATTATTTCTCATAATTGTGTTTTGATAAACTATGATGACATGCAAAAATACGACAAAATATCCAGGACGAAAGCTGTATACCTGACACTGATGTATTCAAGACACGTCCGACAGAACTGGTAGCTTTCGAAATGCTTCTTGATACATTAAGAACGATCTAGTAGTGATTTTTTGTCCACGTTTATATTTTAATGCGACTCCGCACTTTATGTCCCCATACACTTGCAATATCTTTCTCAATTTGAGACTTTGCACTATCTTTGGATCCCCAGTTACACATTAGAGGATCTTTCAGAAGGACCAGGAAACGAATGCAGCAGTGAAATCGTGTGAAATCGTTAACTGACAGCCAGCCATCTCGAAACGACTGTCTTCATAGCCGTATTTACTGATGTCGTCATGGTATGTCATAATTGTGTTATGATAAACTATGACGGCATGACGAAAATACGGCCATAGTATCGAAGGTTTATACCTGACACTGATGTATTCAAGACATATCCGACAGAACTGGGAGCCGATGTATTCAAGACAGACGGAAGGGTAGAACATATTATTCTTGGTTTTTAGCAGATTTTATGAATTCATGCTTTAAGGATTTATGATTGTATTATTACAACATGCACAAATAGTTTTATTTAGTCTTGACATTTACATTGTACTACTATAATGTTTTCGCGAAGTATTAATTTCTCGGAAGGTTTTTAACTTAAGGTATTTTTCTTAAAATGATATCGGATATTCACAAATTTCTGAAAAGTGCTTACCAAAATTTATAATCCACCGGTGCTCCCATAAGAAAAGGAACAGCAGATCAGTTTCTTTCAATCTTTTGGTGGTGGTAGCAACGAGTCATAGTGTAATGGCCGATACATGTCCTATATAATAATCTATAATTTGCTTTTTAACTATCTGTATTTATATACACGAATTATTTTTCACGCGTTTTCGGCAGCAAACTTCTTAATCCGAGCGATTATTTTTCTTTCAACTTTAATTTTGCGCCCCCATTGTTTGCGCGAATGTCATGCGAGCAAGGTAGGACGTTTTCCAAGCTTTCGAATCTTGAGGAAAATACAATTCCTTATAAAATTCTACGCGGATGGACAGCTTACAAAAAGTCCTGAATGACTTTCAGGCGGGATTTCTCAGTACTGATCTAATATTAGATCAGTGGTTCTCAGTATAGCCTATGCTAGAACAAAGATGATATTTTTATATTAAATAATTTAAGACTGATAAGATATGTCGAGATTGACTATATCACTGGAAAATAGTACCCACAATCGTGGACATAACTTGTTAATAATATTTTAATTTGCCTCTGCATGTGGGACTTTAAATTGTAATTTGATTCCTGTATCTTGCCCAAAATACCCCCAACAGAAATACAGAATGTTGCTGAATAGACCTTACCGATTATTCTCTTTTACCTAATGGCCTCGTTTTCATGTCAAATACTTACTCATGTTTTGCGCTTAGTAAAATTACCTTGTTATTGAGAATAAGAACAGCAAGAAACAAATTCGTCCAGGAAAACATGGGAATATAATCTTTATCTGTCCCTGACATGCTAAAATAAGTTAACATGGAAACGAGGCCATTGGGTAAAAGAGATTATATAATAACTACAGTGAAACACGCAATTTGATTGGTCAACAGCCGTGCAGGATCAGACAATCCTGCACGGGAAATTCTGAACAGAAATTCTTGCACATAATTTTACAAATTTAAAAGTTTCCAATTATTGAGACGTTGGTTTAGTTGTATGAATAAATTTCTGATCGATAGTCCTGTTCAAAGAAGTAGCAACGCATAGCGTTGAAATTCATCAGACCATGGCAAGTACAACATCTCTCGCTAGTCGCTTCAAAGTTCAAACGCTTCGCAATCTTCAAGTATTCAGGTCGAGAATCTTTTCATAACTACTTTGGCTTTCTGTTTAGCGGGTTTTCCATTTCAAATTTCGTAAATTTTATCTGTATTTTCGCTGCATATTTTCGCGAATTTGCGAACAAATTCTGTTCGCATTTGTTGTTGTTTTCAATAGCGTGGAGTAGCGATGCTCCGATTGGTTAAGTGACGATTGTTGTGAGAACTGCACATTTCATCAGTAATTTTAATGAAGTTAACCGTCGTTTCACTGTAGTAATTTTATAAAACAATTACCAAATGGTTTTCCCGTCCAGGATAGCATGATCCATTCACTTGGGATGTTGCTCGACTTTCGGAAAGCGTAAGTCTCGCAACATCCCGCGTGCATGGATCACGCAATCCTGCACGGAAAACCATTCGGTATTCCTTTAATAATCGGTATAAGGTCTATTGTGGAGAAAATGTCAAAATTGGGTGGGGGAGAGGGGGAAAACCTAATGAAATTATTTGATTAATTCACAAAAATTTCGATCCATTTTATTAACAGTTTGTCCACGATTGCAGATTATGCCTAACCTGAGAACGGGCATACTAAGGATGCGTGGTTGTGATATAGTAGTTATTTAACCAAGACCTGCAGGTGCGAAGATAAAATATATTTCTCTTACAATTTATTTGTTCACTTAGTATGAAGCTTATTCAATTGAAAAGGATGCAAAAAGAGTGAAAGAGGCTGCGGAGCTTTTTCTTGACATGTAAGTGCATTACTGTGCAGTAGGGCATATTAGTATATTGCATTTCCATTCTTTCAAGTTAGCAACATGTTGTTTCCGCTAGGATGCATATTGGTACCGGTTTTTGAACCTTGAATCTGATTGTTTTTATAAGCACGTTTCACAGTGTGCGAAGGAAAGAAACATTTTAATTTTTAGTCTAAGTGGGCAAACCATAATTTGACTTCAATATATATAAGAGAGGTTGAGCGAACGATAGTGTGTTGGTATTTAGTGTGAATTATTCCTCATGATGAAGATTTTTGCCATGCCTTGTTTGTGACTGATGTATTGCAATATAATTCTTTTAATTCAGGTTTTAGTGCCACAAAAATAATTCAGTGTTAAAAAATTAATTTGGTGCCAAAAAATTAATTTGGTGCCAAAAAATTAATTCATCCCAAACAAAACACAACACTTTGATTTAAGTTTTGACTTCTGACAGTATCAATTTTTATTGATGTTGTGTCATTCAAATGAATGAATGATGCAAGTGACCATGCATGCATTTGCTTCTGTATGGGAACACATATATACTCGTGAGTTTTTAAAGACTTCACTAAATTGCACTCGTCCTTTTGGACTCGTGCATGTTTTTGCATCTTAAGTATGTTCTCTAATTTAGCTTTTTTTTCCATAATAAATAAGGTTGGCTCGATTTTCCACTGAAAAGATTCTTGCTGAAGAACTGTGCAAGATCACAGAAGCACTTGAAGCAAAAGATATTGATAAAAAAAGTATATTTTTGAAAGGTACTGTAATGAAAAAAGCAAAACTGTATGTTCTCCATATCAAATATAACGGCTGGACTTAATTTGGGACTGTATTAGTCCTGTTCTCTGTGCCTTCAATTTCTTATTCTAAAATTAATAATAATAAAAAAATAACAATATTTGTCATTATTTTTGTCATTAATTTAAACTAAAGGCCGTCAAGAAAGTTGAATGTGGGCAAAGAGACCGTAATGGAAAACTGCCTTAAAAGCCAACTTCATGTACGCTGGATACTTCAATCTGTGCTAAAGGTTTATATCGTAGCTGTCCAGTTCATTATATAGCGTTCTTTCATTAGTCCAGTGTTACTGCCGGTAGAGACTGGAGAATTTGGAGGAAACTTTCAACGTTTGGTAGGGTCAGTCTGATTGTCAAACTGGAAGCACACTCATATACGGCAATATATTTTTCCATTAACAATATAGATATGTTCAACAGTTTATCCAGAACGTCACAGAAAGGAATTTTAATTAATGCTGCAGGTTTGTTTACTTAACCCATATATTTTATGGCAATCTGTACTTTACATTCGTCCTCATGTGAGTATTTAATTATAGTGTTCTAATATTAACTCTGCAACGAAAGGGGGCTTTATAAAAACATATAAATTATATTTAGACAAAATTAAATCTTATGATGCACCTGTTTTGTCAATGTTAAGCAAATTAAACAGAAATGCGTAAAGTTATTCATTTTGTACTTTTAGTTGACTCAATTGTACTGATAGACGCCATTCATCTTTTGACGTCGTTCGTGTTTTAACACCCAATTAAGTCTCTAACGGATGACCTTAGGGTCGTAAGGTCGTATAAATCCCACCTTGGTTATTCCTCTGCGAGGCAAGGCCATTCTTGGTCATTCGTCTGAATTGCGGATTGGGAGAGATGCGAGAGAACTACTTGCAAAATACAAGCAGAACTTCGAAATTTCGAGCGAAGGCCCTTCGCCGACCTTACCTACACTAGTCGCCGCTACATACACTGGCACAAACTGCTCCAGTCCTTTCCTCTGCCCTACCAACCAACAGTGATGAAGTTGAAGGTCTAAAGCCCCGTTCGAACGAATCCAACATCGTCTTACATTTTTGACCCAACAATGATGTTGAACAATGTTGGATGGAAATGTTTTAACAAAGTCAAAACCGATTAAACATCTTCCGACATGAGCCGACATTACCCAAGATATTATCAAACGAGGCCAACAATGTTGCATTCAACAATACTGAATAGTATTGGGCGAACATGATGGCTATAGCCAGCGTGGCCGGCTCTTTTATAAGTAGAGCCTGCCCGAGAGCCCTAGTCAAATTGATGCCGCCCACTTAGTTAATATTCCATATTAACACCGCCCACTCGAAATAGTTTTGTATAAATTGATGACTTAAAATTTTAATTGTTGCATATTTACTATAGCCTGCGCTACATGCTTTCAATAAACTTTTTACAATAGATGGATAGCGATTCAACTGCCTGGAAATACAAGCAAAACGTCGGCATTTCGAGCGAAGGCCCTTAGTAGGCCCAGTAGTAGACGAAGACCGTTCAAAATTATATTATGCTTTGCACCTGTATGGCTGTACTACAGTTATAAATATTGCAGTATTAAATATAATGACTTAGGAAAAGTTTAAATAGACCCCTTCCCGTGTTATACTCGTTGGCAGGCAAATGTATTTTAAAAGCTCCAAAGAGAGCTTCCTATTATTATGGTGTATTAAACACAATGGGAATGTATTGTTTTATATAATTGTAATTTGCCAGCCAGCAAAATATAAACAAGGCAAGGACAGCCGAGGTTTTATACTCTTTATACTATAGTGACCATACGGTAAAATCATACGACATATATGCAGTAATAGCAGTATGGCTTGCCGTATTCTGTTTAGATACCGGTATATGTTATACATTTTACACTTTGTCTTTTGAATTTTATATTTTAGCAGACAGGTTTACACTTTACAGGTAAACTACGTAAAGCGTTCCTCTTTTGAGTTTCTAAATTGATTGCAATTTTCCTCATTACTTTTGCAATTTAAAAAACTCCTTTGCAAATTCCTTGAGGGAATTTGCAATGTTGCTAAAAGCCAAAAAAATTTTCCTCAGTTCCTGTTAGAAGTTCTTAACTTCCTGTTACAAATTCCTAACTTCCTGTTCTGTTCTGCGTGTTGCAATTGGCTAACAAAAATAATCGACCAATAACAACGCTCAGAACAGAACAGGAAGTTAGGAAATTAAAACAGGAAGTTAGGAAAATTTAAAATGAAGTTTGGAATATTGCAACAGCCGATAGGAACATTGCAAATTCCCTCAAGGGATTTGCAAAGAGTTTTTCAAATTTGCAAAGCTAATGAGGAAAATTCCAAATGAGTTACGAAGTCAAAAGAGGAACGCTTCACGTAGTTTACCTGTAATATAGCGATGCCGTTTGTTTTTACTGTATTTATTTTTAAATATTTGAATAAATTAGCGTAACATGTCAATCAAACTGTCGTCAACGTAAATTCAGCCAATCACAATTCTCGGCGGCTGGCTGCCGAGAGTCATCAATTTGACTAGGGCTTTCGGGCAGGCTCTCCTTCAATAGAGCCGGCCACGCTGGCTAATGATGGCCTCGTTTGATCTGGCCTTAATACTTTTAAAACGTCTCAATTCATTTTATCCAAGATTGTTGCGATTACAATATTGTCTCTATACCACTATTGACGATTTTTATTTTGTGCTTACTCGTTGTTTGTCACTATCTTTCAGCGAAACAAAGCGACTGCTCTGAGAAATGTCGACTTACACTGTTATTGATAAAACAATTTCCAGAAGCTGTTAAAGAATGTGCCGTAAGTTCTTCTTGTGTGTCTGATCACGTGGCCCAATGTATGATTTAACAAATATAAAACATTTTCCGTATTGATATACAGTTATATCAACACGAGTGGAAATTAGGAAAACGAGAAATTGTGTGAAAACACTCCGCCCGAAGACGCCCGAAGACGCCCGAAGGGCGGAGTGTTTTCACACAATTTCGAGTTTTCCCAATTTCCACGAGTGTATCAATAACTGTATCAATACGGAAAAAATGTTTTATATTTGTTTTATAATATAGCGCAAAGAAACATAAAGAAAGAAATTTTCCGACGTTTCCGTGTTGACATTGAGTTATATCAACACGGCTCTTAGCCAATCAGCGTTCAGAATTTACAAATGCTATATTATAATTCTTCTTGTTCAACCTAATACTCGGGCTCTTTATTATAATATTATACGCTTTTACTAACATAGTCAATCAAGATGTGATCTGGATACTCTGTGCTATACTGTGATATTTAACAAAAGGAAAGATTTACCTTATTGCTGTAGACTTGATACAAGTCGACTCGTATTATTTAGTTGCAGCGTTGAGCTCAAATTCTTAAAGTGCGGATTTTAGCGATGGGGGTGCGTCAAATTTCACCAACTCGGTGCGTATTAGCCAAACAGATTTAAGAATTGGCCACGCATTATAGTCGACGGCTTTTTCGTGTTTGTTTATGCGTTGTGTGCGTTGAAATGAATATACTGTAACTGGAACGCTACCTTCAGATAAACTGTCTATCTTTTTCTTGAAGCCAAATCTTGACTCAAACCCACGTGTTTATATCATGATTGACTGATTGAGCGCTCTTCGCATGCGTGAAAAGACTGGGACTGGCCTTCAAGTTTGGTTTCAAATTTCCGGTTGGAGATAGCGTTCCAGTTATATTCATTTCAATGGTTGTACTCGTCGTTTTCACTGGTTTCCTTACAATGCCAGACAAGTTACATGTGAGTGGACTTGTAGCAATTAGGCAGTTGCATCAGGAGAATGTTCAAACTTGTATCCAGGGTTTTCCCGTAAATGTTAAATCCTGGCACTTTGTGGTTTTGTTGTTTCTTGACAGTTGTAAGGAAGGTGGTTTTGGTCTCATTTACGCTATGGTACATCTAAAATGGTGAAAACTTTGATAATTTTAATGGTCCTTCTCCCCCCCCCCCAAAAACAATAATGTTGCTTTTCAAGAACTATAGTTATTCAAACAAATACCGAGATTTTCTAAAGGAACAAACTAAGTCATAGTCGGTTTCATTTTTTCTACAACTGCCGATTCGCATATTTCTCATGCGGAATTGCACTATTGTAGAAAGTGTTTTTTTTAAAAGGTATATTCTGGTTGGTTGAGTACTATTAAAATGTTTATCTGTTTCGTGTTATATATTACGTCGTTTAATTCAATTAATGATATTCAATTTTTATCAAGGTTTCTCTAATACAATCATTGATGTCTAAAGAACACGAGAGCTACCCAGATTCTCCAATCAATATTTATAGAAAGTTGTTAGGTAATACCTCGTGTTGAATCAATATAAATTTTAAATCGTCAATTGGATTGACGAGAATTAAAATACCGAATTGAATTTAGTGGAGAGCGGGAATTTATTATTTATTCAATTGTTATATATACTAATTATAGCTATTCATATGTTCTATAGTTTGTAATGTTCTTCCTGTTGTTGTGAGCAGTGAACAGTTGGTGATTAATATTGAAAACAAGCCTGACAAGAATCAGGTATGAAATGACGTATGTAATACTCACTGTGTTCGGTTTGCCCGCGAGGTACGAGCGACCTATTGAATCGCGCGAGTAATCAGTCTAGTGGACCTACGAAGAAAATTGAAGTATACAATATAACCCAACTGAAAACTGTCACACATGCGAACGCATGTTCAAACCGATTCGCTGTTCCCGCGCGAACAAAGCGACTGTAGTGGAATGCGCTATTCCATTTAATATCCGTACAATCCCCTCCCCCTTTGTAAGAACTTCCACAGGGGTAAGGTATATGCAATTTTTTATGGGATTTTGGCATGAGGGTTGGATATTTTCAATTAAATTTCCTTAGGGGTAAAGTGTAATTCTTCAGGGATAAATGCTGATTATATGCTGCTTTAATGTACTATTTAAAACATGAGCAGCAGTGTTTTATCAGATGTAAAGATAAAACACGCACTGCGAATGTTTTAAATTGCTTCAAAAACGATCGATCTAGTATATGTTCATTGGCGAAGTAATTTTCAAAAAATACGTTGTGTAAGTCGAGAAAAAAATAATCAAAGTTAGGCTAAAATTTATGTAAATCAAGGGAAATCTCTATCACATGTAAAGATACGACACGCTTATGATTTTTCTTCATGAATTATTAATGAGTTTTTGAATATAATTTATTGGTATTATTAGTTTAATTTTTACAAAAACTCATCGTATAATAGACAAAATGTAGGGCATATCACTCGACAATTTTATATTATTCCAACATGTAATAAATAGTTCTTCTTCTATAGCTCGATATTTCCATCCGCGAAAAAAACTTTCAACATAATATACTGATCACTTTCACCATTTAGAATCCAAACATTCTGACACTAAGCCCGGATCAAGTGCTCAGTTGGTTAGAGTTATCAATTCAATACATCGTTTGCTGTCAGGCGTTTCAAGCTAATGTCTACACGAATCTCCCATATGAGATTGACCATTCAGTTCATAACCATGCTGATTTATGGCTGCATCTTCATGAACTGCTTTGCATCATGGGTAATAAATGTGGCTGGGTCGATATTTTGCGTTTGAAAGATATCTTATCGCCCAACAGGTTGGTAACTTTATTACAACTGAAGATTGTACAGTCTTCCTAATAGAGGTTATACTGTACCACCATGATGTTACCTTTAAAAGCTATGTTACACAACGTTACAAATTCTGGTGCAATTTGCAACACAATTTCTGACATAGAGTAGTGTTGATAGTAGATCGAGTGAAGGGTATTACAAAGGATGAGTGACTACTCTGCACAGTCTTGATTGTAGATCGAGGGAATGCTATACATAGGTTAATTGACTACCTTGTACAGACTTGATAGTAGATCGAGTGAATGGTATTACATAGGATGAGTGACCATCTTGTACAGTCTTGATAGTAGATCGTAGATCGAGTCTTGATAGTAGATCGAGGGAATTCTATATAAATATGTTAAGTGAATACCCTGTACATACTTGATAGTAGATCGAGGGAAGTGTATTACATAGGATGAGTGACCATCTTGTACAGTCTTGATAGTAGATCGAGGGAAGTGTATTACATCGGATGAGTGACCATCTTGCACAGTCTTGATAGTAGATCGAGGGAAGGGTATTAATAGGATGAGTGACTACCTTGTACAGTCTTGACAGCAGATCGAGGGAAGTGTATTACATAGGATGAGTGACCATCTTGTACAGTCTTGATAGTGGATCGAGGGAAGTGTATTACATAGGATGAGTGACTACCTTATACAGTCTTGATGATAGATCGAGGGAAGTGTATTACTTAGGATGAGTGACTACACTGTTACAGATTTGATAGTAGATCAAGGGAATGCTACACATAGGTTAAGTGACTACTTTGTACAGTCGTGAATGAGTGACCGTCTTGTACAGTCTTCATAGTAGATCGCGAGGGATGGGTATTACATAGGATGAGTGACTACCCTGTACAGACTCGATAGTAGATCGAGGGAAAGGTATTGCATGACTACACTGTTACAGATTTGATAGTAGATCGAGGGAAGGGTATTACATAGGATGAGTGACCAGTATACTGCACATACTACATATGATTGAAAACTCGTGTAAGTAGAATTGCAGCTGGTTCTCGCATGTGTCTCAGGGTTCAGGTACTCCGGATGGAGTTGAGAACATATTTCGAACCACGAAACAATGTTTTCTCCTACGTTGTCGCCTTAACGCAAGTGTAGTAAAAACAGGTATGTTTGAAGTAGGAATCATTTATCTTCATAGGCAGCCATTTTGTCTTTCCCGTCAGTTGAGTCAAAAATTTCATTTGACAGTAACGACATCCAGCACCTGGCAACAACACTGAAAGACTGCTAATAATAATAATAATAATAATAATAAAAAAAGTCACGACAACGAGCGAGCACCAACGACCAAATGGAAACCAAGCTTTATATAATTATAAATTACAACGTCATTTTCCCACTCTGGTAACTTGCCTGTTGACCACCTTCTGTTGTACTATATAGTACAAAACTACCTAAATTAGGTAGTTTGTTCCAAAATGCATTCACCATTCACGCTGCATTATATGCGGTGGGATTATATATTTTGTGTTACTGATGTCTATACTGTCGTCATTATTCGTTGCGCGCTCTAACTTTAAGATACGCCCGTAACACAGAATACTTTCCCGTCAAAAACACAATACCTTGACCCCATCGGAAATTTTTGGAAATTTCCTGACCCCATTGGAAATTTTCGGGAATTTCTTGACCCCATCCGAAATTTTCGCGAATTTCTTGACCCCCCTCAGAAATTTTCGGGAATTTCTTGACCCCCTCAGAAATTATCGGGAATTTTTTGAGCCCCTCTGAAATTATCGGGAATTATTTTCAGGGATTTTCTTGACTCCCTCGGAAATTCTCGTCAACAGGTAGTGCCCCTTCAGAAATGTTCAGAATTTTCCTCGGAAATTTTCATCTTGGAACCCCCTCAGAAATTTCAGAATTTCAGAACCCTTCGGAAAATCTCGTCAACAGGGGGGTGTGGATATTAAATGGAATGGCCCTATACTTAACAAATATAAAACATATTCCGTGTTGATATACAATAATATTAACACGAGTGTACAATAATATCAACACGAGTGGAACACAATTTCGAGTTTTCCCAATTTCCACGAGTGTTGATATAACTGTATATCAATACGGAAAAATGTTTTATGTTTTTTTTATAATATAGGGCAAAGAAATATAAGAAAGAAATTTTCCGTGTTGACATTGAGTTATATCAACACGGTTCTTAGTCAATCGGCGTTCAGAATTTACAAATGCCATATTATAATATACTCTACAAAACAAATCTTAATCATTATTTTCGTATTTATATAATAGGAGTGTCAAAGATGCGTGGAGTTGCTTATCAGATATTCATCACAATCTTAAGAAATCAATGAAAATTACGACAAAAGCTGTTGAAGAAGGACAAGCCTCGACTACAGCACTAAATATTTTAGCAATGGAAAAGATTGGTGTATTTTATGCTGCTGTTACCATATTCTTTCGAGCTGTGTGGCAATATTGTAAGATCGTGAACAGAACAGATGAACAAGGTAAGCCAACTCTGTGGCAGACACCTCAGGGATATATTTGGGAGTAAAATTTCGGTCACGACAATTTTCTGTCCTGTTGAGAGCTGCAAACCTCATTCTCACATCTCACCTTCGCCTCAAATAGACCAACTTAATTTGGTATTAATAAAAAAATTGCGGTTGCCATAGAGTATTTTAATAAAACACAAAACAATAGACACTTTGAAAATTGTAAACATTTACATTCTTTACTTTAGAATGCAGTCATTCTTCTGAAGATAACTTAAATTATAGTCGAAACGTAAAGAATGAAAATGTTTATAATTTTCAAAGTGTCTATTGTTTTTTTGTTTTATGAACTTGGTATACAAATTGCCATTTCGTGTTTATTTACACTTCTGAGAAATGTAATATTTTGGTTTCATTGTCATGCTAACCAGAATGTATTGTCTTACTTAATTGAAAAGAACCTATCTGCCAAAAATGTACTGAAATAAACATTGAAATGGGCAATTTGCGTACCAAGTTATTTTCATTGAGACACTTTGCATAACAATATTTGAAGGGCAAGAAAAATGCTCTGGTTTGTCTTACTCCTTTGTTTACAAGTAGTTTGTTCTCAAGTATTTTTAATCATAGTAATTAACTAGAAGTTATTTCGGTCATGTGACCGAAATAACTTGCCGTGATTGTTTTTTCGTCTCATTAATTACTCGTGATTTATCAAATGCGCAAGTTTTGATGAATGATGAATATTTCTTAATGTGCCATACAGGTATGGCAGATACAAATCCAACGTCACCTCTTATTGTGCTGTTAGAAGATTTATCCAATGCAGGGAAGTCTGGCGAAGCCACAGAAGTAAGGTATGATATAGAAAGCAAGAAGTATATAGCTAGAACTCCTGTGTTTTAAAATGCAGTGTTTTTCTATGTCGCGTATTTGCGATGAAAAGCGTTCAAAACCTAAAATCTTTTTGGCATATCTCTCAAAATACTTTGTTTTAGCTATTAAATACTTTGTAGTTTGTACACTTAACTACCTTTTTAATGCATCTGCCGGTTGAGAAACATAGAATAATAATAAAGAATTGTCAATTAAAATACAATTATCAATGATATAAAGATACGAGGCGAACCGAGCCGAGTATCTTTAGGTCCGATAAAACACGCACTGCATGCGAATGTTTTAAATTGCTTCAAAAACGATCGATCTAATAAGTTCATTGGCGAAGTAATTTTCAAAAAATACGCTGTGCAAGTCGAGAAAATCAAAGTTAAAGTTTATGTAAGTCAAGGGAAATCTTTATCACATATAAAGATACGACACGCTTGTGATTTTTCTTTGTGTTTTTCTCATGAATTATTAATGAGTTTTTGAAAACAATATAAACAAGACCTACTGAATTTCAAACATAATTTTCTCTTTGGCGTACCATCTAAAACCTCTTCATTTTAGCATTAGTTTTCAGATAAAACAAACTGACAAAACTTTGTTTGCTTATTGAGAAACGATTTTTAAAGATTTTGACTATGCAGTTATAACCAAACAAATGGTATACTAAATTACCAATTGTTCAAAAAATTATATGTATTGAATTTCTTCTGAAATATCTAAGCCTGCATACAGCTATTAAAGTCTAAATTAATGCATTACACTATACATAAAGCTGCTGTTTTTCAAACTTGATATTTTAGGCACGTTCCTAAAAAGAAAAAGAAACCTGTGGATGTAAGTTATTAAATTAGCACGATTGCATGATATTCAAGTGAATTGTAGCAATTCAACAAAATAACATCTAATGCAGTTCTTGAAAGACATTGCTTTGTCCTTAATTGTTAACTATTTCAAAGAAAGAATTAGAGCAGTTTGAAGTTATTTTTGCAAACAGGGCACCGTGCGAATCTTGCTATTTGACCCATTTGTCGTGCTTCATTTGCCAAATCGAAAGAACAAACGCGTGCTCCAGCCCGATTTCCGGTTCTGAAAGGTCCGATTTGCAGACAAACAGTGCGCGCAAAGCAGGCCGGTCATTTCCCATTGTTTAACTCATGCTTTCCCATTGTTTAACCGCTTTCCCATTGTTTAACTGTTTAACACACTCACCCCACACTCAAGTATAACCACAAAGACTTACAGATGTTGCTTCGCAACATCCGTGAGTCAAAAAGGACAAATCAAATCAAAATCAAATCATATTTATTTCCGTAGGGTAACCTCTTCAGTAATGTATCACTGGTATCAATGAGGGCCCTACAATTAAAATATATATATATATATATATATATATATATATATATATATATATATATATATATATATATATATATATATATATATATATATATATATATATGAAATGCAGTGAGCGTGCGCATAAAGGCTTAGGCATAATGTGTAGTATATAAAGTTCTGTAGTGTCCCACATCCACCACACTGCCTTCTATAGTATATATATTCTTGGTATGTGGAAGCTCATCATCGGTGCACTGTGCTGATGAGCCCCAAAAAGGGCGAAACAGCTGTCCACAGTTGCCGTTGTTTGAGCTTTCCTTGAAGGGCGCTACAATGTCTTTACTTATGTGCTTTATCGCCGTTTTTAAACTTATATATATATATATATATATATATATATATATATATATATATATATATATATATATATTTTGAAATGCAGTGAGCGTGCGCATAAAGGCTTAGGCATAATGTGTAGTATATAAAGTTCTGTAGTGTCCCACATCCACCACACTGCCTTCTATAGTATATATATATATATATATATATATATATATATATATATATATATATATATATATATATATATATATATATATATATATATATATATATATATATATATATATATGTACTCTATTATATTAAAGTTAAGCTGTAAATAAGTCTAAGAGTTTAGCTTTAAAGCTAGGTAGAGATGATTCTAGGCGGACATGTTCAGGCAAGTTATTAAATGTTTTAGAGCCTCTTACAAGAACGCTACGTTCTGCGAACTCTAACTTTGATCTTGGAACTACAGTAATAACTTCATCTCACTATTTCTAATTGAGCGCTTAGGTTGATGAAGTGTAAAATACTCGTTGAAAGGAATTGGAGCCAAATTATTAATACATTTAAATGTAAAAATTGATAGATGCATAGATCTCCTATCTTTCAGAGAAATCAGCTTAGTATCTACTGTGGGAATGTTATTACAAATTATTTTGTTTGCTTTATTTTGTAATCTTTCAAGTCTATCAGCGTCGGTTTGGCTAAGGCAGTCCCACATGAAGTCGCAGTAGTCCAATATAGGGAGAACAGTTGCCAGATAGATGGTTAATGCGGTGTGGGTTGTAATATATGGTCTAATACGTCGTAGTGCACCTATTCTTTTCGAGACTCGAGAGCAGGTGTACTGTAGATGATCTTTATACGTCAGGCCACTGTCAAGATGTAGACCAAGGTACTTGTATACCAATGACGACTTTATATCAAGGCCATAAATTTGAACTTTTAAGGGTTCATTTATTGATCTCCGTTTGTGCGTCCCAAAGCGGACCGATTCCAGTTTCCCTTGGTGCAGATAGATTTCATTGTTGATTGCCCAGTCTCCGATGATCTTTAAGTCCTCATTTAGTATATCGGTAATTTCAGCAGTGGTCTTTGCAGCGAAATAGATCACGGTATCATCAGCATACATTATCAGGTTAGAGTTAAAGGGAGTAAGCAATAAGTCATTCATGTGCATGCATTATAAAAAGCAATGGTCCCAATATAGATCCCTGCGGTACTCCTGAATTCACAGGAAATGATGAACATAATGCACCGTTCACTCCAACTTGAATGTGCCTATCTAACAAATAGTTCTCAAACCAATTAAGTTCGTTATCACGGATTCCAAAGAATCTCAGTTTACTGAGTAGCTTCGGATGTGAAACTGTATCGAATGCTTTTTGAACATCGAGGAAAACTGCGCCTGTCAATAGACCCGCTTCAGAATTTTTCCTAATGGTGTCAGATATAAGAGTGATAGCCATTGGGCATGAATCTTCTTACGGAAACCAAACTGAGATCCCGAAATAAGGTTTAAGGCTTCTAGGTAGGTGCTTAACTGCTTATGAATTTCCCTTTCGAGAATTTTGGATAGGGTTGGGAGAATTGAGATGGGTCTATATTATTGTTACTTGGGTCGTTTCGGGCTTTGCCTTTATAGATGGGAATAATTCTGGCTAATTTCTAATCACTCGGAAATGTTGATGTGGATAACGATAGGTTGAATAGTGAGGTTATTGACGGCGCAATAACTGATGCTGAGTCTCTAAGCAACTTTGCTGGAATACCGTCCAGGCCAATGGCTTTAGTCGTTTTCAATGTTCGAAGATGATTGTAAATGTTACATATCTTAATTTCTTTAAAGTTTAAAACATTGGATCCAACATTATTTGAATTGAGTATGTAAGCCGGGACTGAGGATAAAGAGGTTAAGGCTGGATGCAGTTTATAAAATTCTTTAGAGGTTCGTTCCGCTATTCGACTGAAAAATAGGCCAAACGTAGTAGCTGTATCTACATCAGTCTCGGTTACTTTATCATTGAAAATGGACTTTACTCGTATGGGCGGATTAGTCTTGGTTTTATTGCCGGATGTAATTCTTTTAATAGATTTCCAATATTTGCTAGGGTTATCCATGTTCTCTTCTAAAAGTTTCTTATTAAAATTTGATTTAGCTTTTCGGATTTCAGCCGTGACAGTATTTCTAAGCTTCTTATATGTACTCCAAAATAATTCAAAGTTATTTGCACGGGCATTTCTAAGATTGTAATCTCGTTCATACATAAGAGACTTTATTTTTGAAGAAAGCCATGGTGTTTCTTTACCTCGAATTCTCTTACTAATAACAGGAGCATGTTTATCGACTACCAATAGAAACAGTTTTTTCCAGAGCAATGTCTTTCAAGAAATTTGATCGAACTCTTTCCTTGCTTCAACGAAGATAATTTCACAAATACAATTTTGTCGAGTGTGTGGACATACTTATATTAGATACATGTAGAATTTCACTGGCTCAATTATTTTGTATACTACGTGATCATGTGAACAGTGTACGCGAAAATAACAATTTTTATGTTCTATTCTGATTTATGCTTTTATTTAACAGGATCAGAAAGAAAAACAACAAGTTCATTTAAGCGTCGGAAGTAGTACGTATAACTGTAGCTTAACCTGTAGAATGTAATAGAGTGCATATACTTTATATATATTTTTATTAATTCTCATGAGGTTTGCAGACTTGGAAAAAGTGTTTTAAAAATGTTCTTCAAATCTGGATTTGCCTTTTTCAAATGTTCCTCAATAGTGTGTAAAAACAGTGGAAAATTTGATGGTATACGTTACGCCAAATCAATATCAAATGACAGATAAGAAAGCATGATGTAATTGTGATCTTCCATAATGTAAAAATTAATCAAAAATTGAAATGAAAAGGATCCCGAGATCCCGCCTGAATGTTTGATGTTTTTCATGCGGATCACCGCCATTTGACGTTATGTACTATTTAAAGCACGCGTAGGAGTGTTTTATCACATATAAAACACGACGCGTAGCGGAGTGTTTTATATGTGATAAAACACGAATACAAGTGCTTTAAATGGCTTAAAAAACGACTCAGCTTATACGAGTTCATTGGCGAAGTAATTTTTAAAATAAACTTTGTCTAAACCGCGAAAATCAAAGCTAAAGTTTATGTAAATTAACATGATTTTATATCACATATATAACCACGACACGCTTATGATTTTTCTTTGTGTTTTGCTCCTGAATTATTAATGAGTTTTTTAAATATATATATTTTTAAGATTGTGTTTCTGTGGAACCCGGCGTCTGTGATTATTTTCTTGTGGCTGCCGACACTTGGCATATGCTGCATTCACATTCAGATTATAAGAACGGTAATGTATGGCTAGGCTAAGGCTTGAAGTGTAAACACCGCTATTGTTATACATCGCATTGTATATTAATGACTGAGGGCGGATGTAGCATTTTATTCTGCCTAAAATACCATGCATGCAGCGGATTTTATTCACACACGTGATGAGCACCCATGTTCTCTTGACCCTTGATATGAGTTCCATTAGCATGCCCTACTACTTTGCGCGACTTTAGAAAAGAGGAAGGGAGTGAAGATAATACATTATGGGATCGTCACAGAAAGCAAATTGTTCACAAGGTTATCTGAGCTTTGTTCCATGTGAAAATCCCAAGATTTATCATGACTATCCCCAGGCTCTTAATTCCAATGTGGGTATCTCTAAGATATCTCTATACACGTTCTTGTTAGTATTGGACTGGGATATAAATGGTGGTCGTCTATAATGACAGCGGTGTGTGTAGGTTAGGTAAATCTAAAGGCCTGAAAATTATTTTATCCTAATTTCTTGTCAAGGGCCAGAATGTTCCTTGACAGAAATTATAGGAAGTTCCATGCAACGTCTTTGAGAAATAACGAGTGAAATTATTTTTGCATTATCATTTCGTTTAATAATTGTTTTCTTGATAATTTAGAATTTTCTCGACTGCTGGACTCGTGGAAAGTGGACGAATGGCAATGGATAATACCATTTCAAGTCGACAGACATATCTACCGAGTATGTTATCAAATAGTGGTATTACAAGTAGTTTACCATACTCATATTAAAATAACATGTGATTTTGGGTAGCGACACACACTACTATATAACGCACACCAACGTACATATGTGTTCCCCTTAATATATCTATAAATCAAATGTTAGTTTTATTTTACGTGCATATTCTATGTGAATATTTGGCGTCGTTCTTGTATATTTACCTCCCTCAAATATGTCCCATCTTCCACTACATTGTGAATAATGCACATTTTCCTTGAATAACTTTTATTTTGTATTTACTAGAAATACGGGTTGATAAAAAGCGTGTATTTAAAGTTGAAAAATTAATTGAAATGTTTCAAACATATTTTAATTTTGTTTAACAGGGAAAATTCAAAAAGGCAGTTGAGATATTACAAGATAAAAAAGAAAGTATAAAAAATTCTACTTCGAATCAATCCGTAAGTTTCCAGATTCTCATTTCTGTCCTATTTGCATATTTAGTGGGCTATTTCGGCGATGTTTTAGCCTATATATCAACATATAGTAAATCCTAATACTTATCCATGCATCGTACATATATGGCATCACATTATTTATACATGAACTTGTGCATGGATAGAGCTCGACAACTGTCTCTTTGTAGCTCAGTTGGTTAGAACGCTGCACTGGAATCGCAGGGCTGCAGGTTATATTCCTGCCAGAGGGCAGCTAGCTGCATTTTTCGCAACTGTTTCTGGTTAGATCTTATATAAATGTATGTAAAATTCCACTCCAAGATTTCCATATAACTATATATCAATATAGTGTTTTTATTCGTGAATATTTTTTCTGGTTGTAGTTTTCGCTAAGGTGTTCATTACAGCTATCCTCTGTGTTGTCATGCCTTGGTGAACACAAGGTAAACATTTATAATTTGGTATCAGGGTGCGATAATTCAAGATTTTTAGTCATACCTGTCTGGCACTCCAATGGGTTTTGCCGCATACTTCACTTGAGCCCTAACAATTTTAAGACTTTTATAAGTACACTTTAAAAAGCGTACTTACAGACGATAAAGTACATTAGATGCATTTTTCTAAATAGTATTCATTCTACTACCTGAGGCTACGAGTTAGAAAAAGTACAATTAATTGCATAAACATGCAAACACTACAATCGACTCCAATATCCCTTACTACCATCAGTCTACTCATATGTCGTGTTGTCAGTCTTAGACATATACAGTATACTCAGATGGCAAGAGTTGGCTAAAAAATATTCCAGGCCATAATGTTGACGTACCGCTGGTACGTAGGTACTCGAATTATCACTCCCTGGATATGGGGCTTTAATATGATCCCTTCAGGGTCAGCAATTACTCCGTTGAGCCCGTAAATTTTACGCAATAGACGGTTTAACAGCTAAAATCTTGGGAACATGCATGCACGAATGATGCACCCCGCCAAAATTTCCTCTAAGTGCCCCTTTTCCCGGATAAAACAAATGCCCAAATGGAAAAGTGTCCTTCTTTAATGGAATACGTGTCTCTTAAGACGCAGTGCTCTCCCATGTTTATATTGCTCCGGACGCCGCTGCGTTTGTAAAATATCATGTTCGTGTTAATGTAACGGTTGGTTTTAATAACATATACGTTAAAGGTTAACAGTGAAAACATATATAATTGCCTAACCGTGCTCTTAAATCCTTAAACCCGGTTATCAAAAATATTGGGTCGGGAGATGTCGATCTGCCCTATCTAATAGAATGCCACAGAGATATATCTCTTTAATCAGCAAAGACTGGTTTACTTATACAGCACGTGCACAATAGATATAATATACATGCAGACAATGTCACATCAGTAGTGCATATGACAACCAAATTTAAATTAGGCTGCTTATATGTAATACCCATGCAGTTAAGCAACGGCATGCAGGATTTATAGTGTGTCAATACATTCTTCTGAAAACACCTCAACTATATAATCATAGATCAGTTCAATGCATTAACCATGCAGTGAGATTAATTGACTAACAAGATCTATTGACCAATCAATCAAATCATTCAATGGGTTCAATCAATTTATCAGTAATTCAATCAACTAAATACGACGGTAAACATATATTTAAATGAGGAAACACGATATCACAAAGTAGTTTAGAGATACGGCATGCAACTACAATTTTACAAAACAATTAAAGCTTGCTGTCAAATCTTGTACAGTATGTATGACACGCTCTATTGCAGTTTTGCATGGGCTCAAAAACAACAGAAAGTCCTTAAAATATATACTATACTGATGAAAGGTTCCTTCAAAATTTGACGTTGGATAATTTATTTATTTTAGAAAGCATGTAGTGTTATACTGGAAGCACTAGAGACATTCTGGGAAGGTTCAGATAATCTCGATGATTATAAAGATAAACAAAAGAGGAGATTTATTGACTGTAGCTCCACAAAGAACAATAAAACTCATTCTCCTAATGGTAAGTATGCATGCAGTTCGTAGAAAGTGGTTTCTCAGAAAATCATCCCATGCACTTATTTTTGTTGAATGTGTGCATATCTTTCATTTACGATTTATTTCATTTAGATCGTCACTTAGAGCTTGTTGAATGTACGGAGGATGAAGCTCTATCATACTGTGTCCAGCTGCTGGTGAATTCTCTTAAGGTAACGGGCAAATTGCCTCAGGCTATTTGGGCTTTTCAAAGATCTATGTAGTATTGCGCTAGACGGTTATATGGATAAAAGGCAAAAATGCAATATCGATAATTTTGAAAGTGCGAATGACACTAAGCTGTCTGTTATCTCAAACGAAAGTATATTGTTGAAACTGTAGAGTGAGTTCTATTTTCGATTTATATGCTTCGTTGTTGGTGGCATAATTAATTTTCTATAAAGGATTAGTGTCACACCATGGTATCGCGAGATTTTGTTGTTTCCATCTTACCCAAAATCAACAAATAACGATAAAAGTCAGATAAAAGAAGCAAGGATTCCCACAAGATTGCTTTAAATAAACGGTTGATTACAAAAAAACATTTCCAGATCAATTGATCAACTCGGCTTATAAAATGGCTGCCAGCAGTAATTTGAGCCCGCAATACCATGGTGTGACGCCAATCCTTTGATAAAGCATTGCAACCAAACTGACATCGATGATTCTGGATTTTCAACCGTACTTCACTGGTGCTTCAATTGTTTCCATGCACTAGATCTTGAGGTGGTACAAACTTAAGACTCATGGTGTACTAACTTAGTCCCTAAGATAAAGTACAAAGCATAGTTTTCTGATTGTCATGTAGTCTGAAACCAAGAAGGAGCACATTTGCATGTACACACACATATAACTGACTCCAACATTCTCTAGTCCCATCCAATCAGTCCAATCATGTTTTCTGCGTATAGGCTCCTCCGCAGACATCTCCAGGGAATCGGGTGGTGAGAACCAGGGCGCTTATATACTAGTATATAACTCCCCATTCGCGCGCTAAAACCCATAGAGATGCCTGCGGAAGAGGTTATTTCCTGCCAATTAGACATGTCAGATTTTTACACATAATAAGAAAGCTTCGGATTAATACGGATACAACTACCTGAAAAATACAAGGAGAACTTCGACATTTCGAACGAGGGCCATCGTTGGGAAGTTAGAAAGCTTCCTGGTTATATAGTGCCAGCAAAATGTATGTACGCAGACAGCGAGAGTACCGCGTGTCTACGTGGCACTTGGCTGAAAACAATTGAAACGAGTACTAGACCGTAATACTGGCGTACCTATAGCCTCCTCCGCAGGCATCGCCTTTAGATTGACAGGCAAAATTTGCCCTAGGGTACGTATGTATGCGACTTATCGCACCCTGATTTAATCGTGTTCAGTTGATGTGGTCAGGGCCGAAACTAGTGGGGGGGGGGGGATGAGACACCCCCCAATCTTGTAATATTGTAGTTTCGTCGGGCAAGTTCGACACGCTCGTCGGGAAAAAACTATCGAAAAGTAATAGTTCTAGAGAAAATTTTGATACATTTACGAAAATCTGACTGAAAAATTTGTGTTTTGGGGCAAATTCGAGAAACTTTTGATGGAAAAATTTTTCCCCTAAAAGGTTGTCGACGGGGGGGGTGTCATTTTGGCAAATGTTCGTCGGGCACTCTTTATTGGTCGGCCAAAACAAGTTCACAGCCCCCCAGCCGTAATACCGAAGTTTCGGCCTTGGATGTGGTTACGTCACACCGATCTTCTGAACCTAACATCACCTGAGTTCAGAACAATCTTTCCCTTGAACAATTAGCCTTTGTCACGCCATACGACCAGGCCTGGTTTGTCATTTTTGCTTGGCAAATCGCGCAACAACAAAGGATGACGAGTGAAAGAGTAAAATGGTGGGAAAGGCCTGCATGGTATGAAAAAAGCTAATTAGTCAATTTAAACATTGCTATTGGTTGGTTTTGCGAAAATAAACTTGAAACCTGACGAAAAGGCACTAGAGTTTGGAGGTAATACGTCACCTTGATGATTTTGAGATTTTCCAAACAGTGACAGATACTTTGCGAAATATTGAGAGCAAATTCAGGTTGCCAACATACGCATGGCCACCTTTTGTTGTTGCAAATCTTAGTTCTTTGAACTTTGTTGCCTTAAATTTCATATAAATAGAGCATATTACATGGCGGTGCGAACATATGACTTTTATCTTCGAGTGGTGAAAACAATATTTTACGAACGAGCGCAGCGAGTGAGTAAAATATTGTTTTCAACACGAGAAGATAAAAGTCATATCTTCAAGCCTACGTGTAATGTTCTGTTTATTATACATGTATAGTCCCAAGCAAAAAATTGTATAAATACTGAAAGTCACGTGATCGATATCTTCACTAGTGAAGATATATGGAAAATATCTCACTGTGTAATAAATATATATTTGGTTTCAATTTTTCTAGGCACGCGTATTCTCTGAAGGTCGTAACGACAAGATGCTTGGACATCTTATTGTGTTGTTGCAATATGACTGGCCCAAACGAGAAGATGTCTTTTTTGATGCGATTAAGAAAATACATGCTCAAGAAGTATTTAAATATCCATGCTTCTTCGAATATATCATCGGTATCCTTTGAATATAAACTAACGTTTAGCTGATTTTGTCAAGTTCGTGAACTGCAGTGGTCATTCTAATTCTCGTTAACCAATGCAAACAATTAAAACAATGTGAAAAGCAAAATATTTACATCATTCGTCCAAAAAATTATAAAAAGTCGCTGTTATGTGGACTTACCTCGCAGACTTCGGCTAAAAAGCTACCCAAAAATGGTGGCGTGAGAAAGGCTAATTGTTTCAAGCGCCATGTTTTTTTACCATGTCCACGAAAATAGGTTGCCACACCCACGATGTAATGTAATGAAAAGGAAAGTTTAATATTTACAAGGAGTAGAAAAAAAGAGAATTATCTAGGATCAGAAAAAAAGAGAATTAGAAAAAAAATACGTGAAACATTTGGTTTGGAAAAACGATTGGTGTCGAGTATATAATTTTGAACAAATTCAAAAAACATTTTGGTGTAACACCTTTGCAGCCGTTACTATTTTATGACTTTTCTTCTCCATTTTTGCTTTTACAGTCCGACTTCATGAAAATGTTTCATAGTCGTTTTATCTGTCTAGAAATTTAATGTGTATTTGCAAAGCACGTTTTCTTAACTGTACAGTAATTGACATTCTGGAGGAATTTGCATATCTGTTTAAAGATGAAAATGTACAAATTGAATTGCTTCGTAAATCATCGTCAAACTCAAGGTAGGCTTTGTGGTGGTAGCACAAGAAAGCGTGTTTCGTCAGCATGTCCAAACAATATGTAGTTTGTTGAGAGAAAAGCGATGTGCAAGTAATAAGCAATTCCAGCTTTTAGTTTATGCCTGCAGGGGATGATGGGAAGTAAGGTATCATATTGCCGATTATGCTGAAAAATTTCAATAAAAACTACCGAAACAACCGAAATATTTCAATATTTACAATTATAAGCTATCACTCCGTGTTTACACGGCCACCATTTTTATTTTTTCAGCATAATCAGCAATGTGATACCTTACTTCCCATCGTCCCCTGCACGCATAAACTAAAAGCTGGAATTGCCAATTGGTTTACTTTATGTAAATTTCTTCCTACGTGAGGAAAACCCAGAACAGTGTCTCGACTATACGCATACAAATGACGCGTTCTGCGTCCGGATAAATTGCTGTTGAACTATAACATGTACTTGAGACTAGAAGAATATGCATATCAAAGTATTCAACTGTTCAATCATCATATGAATATGAAAAGAATGCTCAAAAAAAGCTTGACTCGCTTTAAATTGGAAAATATAATCCTTATAAGTGTTGTACCTTTATGTTGCTTTACACAGAAGACAAAATGTGCTAGTACAAAAACTAGTTAATGACAGTTCTATTGTGGCTATAAGTGAAACACAAAATGATGATTAAACAGTTCAATACGTTGACTTGCATATATTTAATGCTTCCATTCTCAGCTTCATCTTATCATTCAACTGCAATTTATCTCGAGACTCTGAATGCATTGTACGCGGTGTTGATTTCCTTTGTTTTTTGTTTATGGATTATTAATGAGAGTTTTTGAGTGAGTTACCGTGTAATATAACGGGTTTTCAACCAATCCCTATCCCTATGAGGGCTTCAAAACATTTTCGTCATGTTATGTGAGATTAGAATTGAAAACCACTGGAATTCTTTTTTCCAAATACTTACTGTGGAAATAGTATGCATGTTCTTTATAGTTGGAATATAGAAATCAATTTTTTATCCTAATTGCTATTTTCATACTATGGAATTAGTATCGATACAAGAGAGGTTCAGGTTTTGACTTCCACTACAGCTACTATTTCCATTAACCAATCAGATGCGTACGGTTTTAATCTACCCGATTAAGCAATCGAATGTGTATTAATCCAGTGAGGGGTAGTGGACGTCAAATCTGAACCTCTCTAGTATGGATTTAGTGCAGCAAATATGATTTCCACATCATGGATTTCATTTTTCCATTGAACAAGGAAAATCCTGTTATGTCCCCATGTTTCGCACACTCTATATGGTTGGGGAAAGGATTGTGATGCGGTCAAGAAATATGTTGATAGGACTCAGTGAAACGAATATAACATTTCACTGAGATAGGACATGAAATTATATTAAACCAATATGTTCGTGCGTGAACTATGACGGTGTTACCCAAAATCCTTTGTCGAATTCATTCAACATGGCAGCGATGACGCCATGTGCGAATCTGCACCTGTTGTACATCTAAATATACCCATGGCCATGATCTTTTTACTTTTAAAATGACACTCAGCCTTTCACATATGTTTTAAACATCATCATGCTTTAGTTTGTATCGTCCAGTACATTTATACATTGAAATGTATTATTTATGTAGAGGTCGTACTCTAACCCGAGGTTCAAACAAAGGTGCAAAAGAAGATTTAAAGTCGTCTCTGGAAAAACAAGTTACAAGAGCAAGTGAAAGCATCGAGTCGATTTTACGCTTGTTTTTTATCGAGGAGAGAAACAGTCTCATTTAAGGAGATTTGGCAAGAGTGAAATGTGCAGAGCTTTATCAAACACTCGACTTAATATTATTCACCGAAGTGGAGGTGAAAAGTGCAACGATATTCACCGAATCGCGAAGCGTTGATGTGAATATCCTTGCACTATATTCACCGACACTGAGGCGCATAATTGTTTTAGCATATACCATAACAAAACAAAAATGACCAGAAAACAACGAAAATATTTTTAAAACAACTCATATTTCAGCTCCCGTAGTAGTTGTAAACAAAATAGTGTTTACACGCTTTTAGTAATTACAGCTTCGTTTAGTTCAAAAATTTGCTGGAAGCCATTTTGTTTTTGTCTGGAGGTGAATAGTCCAAGCATATCTGGAGCTGAGCAACCAATCAATTATATATATATGCAATCTCGTGCCCAGAGCAATGCCTGTGCGCGGGCTAGGAAGGCATTGGCTCTGGGGAAATTGACAACCGGAACCCCTAAATTTAGGGGTTCCGGTTCTTTGTCGGCATGCGCGATTGACAAACGTTAAACCAATCACAGCACAGGAAAAATTCAATTTCCCCAGAGCCAATGCCATCCTAGCCCGCGCACAGGCATTGCTCTGGGTACGAGATTGATATATATGCTGAGCATAACATGTTTTAAAGTCATTTGTGTAAATATCTCATTTTTGTGTGCAACTAACAAAACTAACAGATAAAGTTTTAGATGTGTCGTCTTTTTATACTTGACCATTGAATGCATTATGTTGTTTTACGATTTTCAATGCATGTTCTTTAGGCCAAGTCTAAACGCCGCATATTACATGCATCAATTCAGTCGTTAGAATCAGGGACGTAGGAAGCTTGATATTAATGACTAATACAACATATTAATGACTACTAATTGATCTCGATCCTGGAGGGCAAATGGCAACCTCTTTTCAGTACAGACACCAACCTCGTACCCAGGGCCTTTGCGCGGTTCAGAGGCTCTGGTTCCCGTACCAGAGCCTCTGAACCGCGCAAAGGCCCTGGGTACGAGGTTGTACAGACACAACTGTAGTACAGTACAGAGTACAGACACTCCAGTGACCTGGTAGAGATCAAAGCTGTTTTTAAGCGTATAGTTGTATTTGTCTTTTTGCCATAAGCTAGGCATGTAAAAGTGACGTCATTATGATGACCTATAAAGGCCTCATTCCACGACGGCGAAATTCTTCGCGCGAAATCGTGTCTGCGAAATATGGATGAAATCGTGCATGCGCAGTTAGTTCTACTCATTGCGAAAGTGAAAAAAGTGTGCAAATCCAATAGAATCACTCATGTGCGGCTGCTGCACATGAGTGATTCTATTGGATTTGCGCACTTTTTTCACTTTCGCAATGAGTAGAACTAACTGCGCATGCACGATTTCATTTCGTGCGAAATGTTTCGCATTTCGCCGAGAAAAAGCGCTCGTAGAATCAGGCCTTAAAAGGCCTTATAAAACGGACACTCTTGTTTCGTGGCCTACGTTTAATAGTACCATTCTTTGTTCGCCACAAAAGGTTGATATCTTTTGGATATTTTAACTTAAAAGTTCCATGTTCCCAATTGGTTGATCTGACCTGATTGGTCACATTCAACACTTATCATCTATAAACATTGAAACTTGTTCTGCATTAGTTGAATTGTCTGTCACTGCAACGTCCGGTAGGCGATTGATCTTAGCAATAAAAGAAAAGGGGCCGATCTTGCTCCCTTGTGGTACGCCAGCGTTAATATTGCGGAAATCTGTCGACTTCCCCTCAAATTTGACTCTTTGTTGACGTTGAGACAGATATGACGCTAACCAGGGCAATAAGGCAAGCCTTACACCTATCCTATCTTTTCCAAATCAGATAGAAGAATATTATGATCAATGAGATTGAACGCTTTAGTAAAGTCCAAAAACATAACACGGATCACGGTATCAGGATTTTCCATGGCTGAATACCAATTGTGGGCATTTCTAACAATGCCAATATAGGTGACGACCCAGGGATTCCACCAAACTGTCTTCTGCTGATACTATCTTTAGCATCATCCAACATCCATTCTAACGCGTAGCTCTCTTGTATTTTGGAAAAAATGCTTGTGATATCCCTATAGGTCTTATGTTCTCAATGACAGTACAAGGATTAGATTTAGGGATTGGACAAGTGTTACAAGCTTTAGAATGTTTGGGTTTGTTATAAGCTTTCCAGACATCGCCAAAACGTTTCTTACGGAAGAATAGGTATTAGTAATGTCTGTAAGGGGGTTTGAAAGTTCTTCTGCGAACCTTTTTATTATTTTCTGTGGCGGATCCAATGGACCTGGGGATTTGCTCACATTGACCTGTTGTAGCTATCTTATGACAGGCGGAGTTTCTTGATACAATAGGAAGTTTTAAATCTTGACCCACGACGAGGTGATGCTCGTGTACCGTGCTGTAATTCGGTTAAGTTAACGAAATACTTATTAATTTCTTCGGCCGCATCTTCTGATGTTACTGTAATGGTTCTCCATTTTCTGGGTTAGAGAGAAAGATTCCCGAGTTTCCCGATATACTCTAACTTGGCTATACTTTTCTACATGACAACGAGAGCTTAATCTTTTAGAAGTTTTCGTCAAACTGTCATGCAAAGTCAATTGGGCCTTGGCATTAGGAAGTATCAAGAGCAATATTTGGACATATCCTGATATACCCGAGTTTCCCGATTGATTGTTTGTCACCGTTAATAAAAATTTAAATTTCGCCTACTGCATTGCTTTTGCATTTTATATACACCCATTACACCGATTGTTTGCAGAACATGCGAGAAGATGATCACAATATTCTACGTAAACATCGGTATACTACCTATAGTTTACAAAATATATCCACGCAAGTAAACAAATTTCAACCCAAACTTCGATCCAGGTTTATAAGGAAGTTAATAATTATTAAATATAGGATTCATAAATACAAATACTAATCAAGCCAAACTAAGAACTTTCCTCTTTTGACGATTGAAGCAAGCTTTAAGTTTTCCACTAGGCGAAATTTTTCGACCGAATCGAAATTTCCCTTTGTTTCATGAGCTCTCGAGCAGAACTAATTGTAAAAAGACAAAAAGAAATTTCTTTTCGGTCGAAAAATTCCGCCTCGTGGAATCAGGCCTTAAGAGGAAACAAAACAGACAGAACAAAATATAAAGCTTTGTACCTTTCGTGTCAGTACTAAAAAGTAGAAGCCAACAGCGGCGCGACTCCTTGGTTAATTGACGGTGTAGATATCACTTCGCCTTCATCTTTTCCAGTCGATTCATCGTCTTGGATAGACATGGTCTTTAAATTTTAACATTCGACATGTGAATAATATATATTTTCACTGAATTTTTTTTGAAAACAAATAATTTTTTGAAATTCTTGACCCGTCTCGCACGTGTCTCGAACTCGCGGGACCAGTGCGAAATTTTCCTGCGTCCTGATTGGATGAGCCGACGCATGCGCTACGTTTACTCGAGTGTCAAGTTATCACGCATGCGTTTGTTTCAAAGGTTTGGTAAACACCGAGCTAAAGCGTCGCACATGCATCACACCAGGCAACTGTAACGTACTTATATACGGAACTGTTACTATTACTTGTGTGTGGTAGTTACCGATCATAGGATCTTGCGAAAAGGGTGCCAGGCATAATGGTCTGGGGGCCGCCGGCACTCTCCCCCGTCGTTCGTTCGATACCGGTTGGTAAGCCACCTATTCACCCGCCTCTGACGATAGCGTTGAGTTTAGCCGAAATCTAGCTTAAACGTTAACATACGGCGTTCTAGCGGCTAGCACGAGACGGACTTGACTGATACGGGCTAGCAGAGTCGGGAAGTATGGACTGATGAGGCACTTTTTTATTTCTATAAATTTTATACCATTCGATATAAAACAGATCTTCTAATTTACCGATCAATTGAATTGCGACTAAAAAAAGTTATCAGTGTCTTTCGTGCTTTTTATCTAACTTATAAAAATCTAAAAATGTATCTTTACTAGCTACTTTTTTATGTCATATCAAATTTAAAAATAAGATTAAAAACCTAAATTTAACTATACTCTATAGCAGTGGCGTAACGTTATATCAGGGGGCCCCCGGTTCAAAATTTTCGAAGGCCCCCCCTGTAGAAGTGCCAAAGGCACGAGTCGAGCACCGTATATGCACAAAGTTTTCTAGGGTGTCCAGGGCATGCTCATCCGGAAAATTTTTGAATCTAGACTGTCTGAAATACCATTTCCTGGACTTTGGGGAGAGATTTTACGGAATTCTGATGGTCAGAAAATAACATTGTAACATATCAGAGGACCTGGCCAATGTTTTTGCTCTATCGCCTAAGCCTGGGGGCCCCTATTTGGCCCATTGGGGTTGGGGGCCCCCGGGTTCTCCCGGTCTGAGCCCATGGTAATTACGCCACTGCTCTATAGTTCTAAAGTTTTAGTTTGACGCCAGATACCAGCTATTTCGCCATTTTGTAGGTACCCGTCTACTTTCTGGTCCGCCTTCATTTTAACCAATCAGATCACGATCCAAAAAAGCTCTTAATCTGATTGACTAATTGAAGAAGTGATCCGTTAATCCCACCAAGCTTGGAAGAGTTTTGGGTAACCCTCAAGTGTCACAGCGAAAGTAACTGAGCCACGGCAAAATAAAATTAACTGTAACGGCAAAACAAAATTGAAACTCACGGGGAAATAAAGTTAACTCACGGTGCAAAACGAAATTAACTCATGACAAAATAAAAAGTCACGGGTGAAATAAAGTTAATTTTTTAAACTCGTGGTTGGAGATCCCGCGCATTTCCCGCCATTCTTGTAGCGCTAGCTAGTTTTTGTTGAGAGCGGTTGAGAGTCAAACCGGTCAAAGCACATTTACCAAAATGTTTTGCTCAGTGTGTGGCTGTTCTGGTGTCAAAGACTACAAATTTTGCTCAAAATCTGGAATAATATAATGCATATTTTAATATGTATGTTTTTTAACACCAAAAAATCAAAAATGTATAAAACAAAAATGTTTGAAACTCGTTAATTAAAGTTGCATTTTGATTTTTGAACAATTTAACGTCAGATTTTACTGATTTCTAACCCCTTTTCTTCAGTATTTTAAGTCACTGAATTTGCTGATCCATGGCCTTGAATTTGACTCTTCTTCACATGTACGAACCCTGTATAAATCTAAACTCGATCATTTAACTAGTCAAGTCCTATTATCTATTCTGTGGCTACGGCAAAATAAAATTAATTGCAACGGCAAAACAAAATTGAATCTCACGGGAAAGTAAAGTTAACTCACGGCAAAACGAAATGAACTCATGACAAAATAAAAAGTCACGGGTGAAATAAAATTAATTTTTTAAGCTCGTGGTTGGAGAAACGTCAGGTATACATGGTTGTAATGAAATGATCGATATACAAACATACAGTGTGTAACCTATTGATTACAATAGTGTAATCTTATTATTGTCACTTGTCTGAGCTGTTGGAATCACTGTCGCTGTGCTAATTAACCAACGGGCTTAAATGAGACATGGAGGGGTTTATATTTGGATAGGCTGCGTCATGTATTCTGTATGCAAGGATATACACTATGTGCAGGATTTTAGAAATTTATATCCAGTTCTTGACCCATACAATATATTCCCATGTGCAAGGGCTTTCCCCAGTAGCTAATCCTTCAGTAAGCGGCTTCCGATTGGCTCTAACTCTTTTGGACACTGCCATAGGATTGACTCCTAAAACAAAGGGAATTGAATGTGCAGCTCGCGGGTAAGCAGACGGTTAGTTTTTCGTCGCTTGGTTAATTAAGAATAACAGCGTCTGCGAGCAGGCTACCTTGTCGCAGGCTATGATAGACGCTGCTACTTTAGTATCCCAGTATTCCATTGACTTTCCACAGTAGTGCTACTTTAAAATAGAGAAGTTTAAATTTGTGGAAATCAAATCTGAACCTCTAATGGTGTT